ATTTGCTAATAAATAGTTATCTGAATACTACGATAAGCCACACTAGGAAGCAAAACAAAAAGATTAGAGGCGACAGCGAGCATGCACTCGTGTAGGTCACGATTTCTTGTAAATACATGGAAACACATACCCATTTTTCCACATCAACTTGCTGTGGAAAGAAAAAGCCAAAATAAATAACAAGCAAATAAACAATTACCTCGCAATGTTTCAATTACAGTCATTTAAATAAACTGAAATGTGGTTCCTGTACCGATATCTACTTCCAATTTCACAGGCTCAGAGACAGTATCCAGACTTTTAATAAATAACATTTAATCTCCGCAAGCAAAATATGAATTCATTTAAAAATCAGAACTTCAAAAGGCAGTAGGCTGGAAAAGCACCAGATACACAAACAGTAATATAATATATGCAAAAGCAAATGTGAACATTTACTAATTCTTCACCCTCAAAGGCCTCCTGGTTTAGAAACTACTATTGTTCTTCCTCTAACTATACAAATCTAGATAATAGAAAGGTTAATTTAGAAATACAGAATCTAAGTTTCTCATGAAATAACAGTAATATTTCTCTTATGCCAATCTTTTTAACATTAAACAAAACTTGACAGTAGGCCTGCCTTGCCAAATTATTCTGACATTATATCAAAATCAAACTATTTTTAAGTTTGTATTTATTAATGAGAACATAGTAGTCTAATAGTCATTATGTGCCTCTTTAAGTACTAAGTGAATATAATAAAATCAAAGTGTAAAAAAAGAACAAATTAAAGAAAACAGGTCAACAGAGTTTATATTCTATATCCTGGGATTCCTGGCAATTTGATTAGAATTAAAAAAAAATTCAACATGGAGGGTTATATTCCATTTCTCAAGGTAATTTCCCATAAACCCACCTTTCCATAGCATATTTGATTCCTGTTCTCTGAGAACTGGGGTTTGCTTCAGAGTCTTCGTGCATTTAACTTGCTTGCAATTATTCCCTTAGAAAATCCATTAATCAGATAAAAACCTGCTGCTACTTCTGTAGATAATGGGCGTCATAGCTAAAGGGGGGATGGGGTGCTATACTAATGATCATCATCCTGTAGCAAGCAAGTTCTTAGAAAGAAACATGCACCTAACACATACAATGCATATTTTTAAAAGGCCATAAAGTGATGTAAAAGTATCAGTCCAATTATACAGGTGAAACTGCTTTCAAAACTTCCTCTGAAGTTCAACAGGTTACTAAAAGCACTTGTAATATGTTACAATCTATTCCCTAGTAATGGATTGTTAGTAACATATTTAGTCTTCAGAAATAGCTGTTCTAAGCTTATCCCCAACTTTCGATTTTCAAAAATATGTATTATTTCATAAAGAATATTATATTGGAATGGGAGACCGAGCTTTGCTAGAAACTCTCAGGATATTCAGCTGTTGTATAAAGGTCAAGTCCTCATTTTAAACATGATCCCATTAGAGTAGCAAGTCAATTTCTTTCGATGGGGGCAAAGAGAAGAATGTAGTCATGTCCAATGTGGCGTAGTTATCATTCACTTTTCTACCTCCAAAAACAAATTAATGTGCTTATTCTTTTCTAGGAAAAATAAATCAAGACTAAGACCAAATTATTTCCTTTTCGTGTGTAGAACAGAATATGCCATCGTTTGAGTGATTTCAGTATTTAGCAAAGACATGATATTATTTTGTCATTATTTTCACTTTCATATGTTCAAATTCACACAGACACACACACCACGACAGAAAATATACTGAGATTTTTCTAGAAGGAAGAGAATTTGACCTACGATTAGTAATAGAGGCTGTTTTATGATCTATCTTACAAAAGAGAAACTGTTTTCTACAGCAAGAATAAGAACAGTAATATAACAGATTTAATACCAAAAATCCAAGAAAGGCTTAGCAACAGCATGTGCTAGGACGAATTATCCGATAAACACATAAGACAAGACAAATGGTCCACAGAATTAACAGACGCAGGAGCAAGAAAGTTGTAATTAAGCATAAGCCAAGCAGAGCGATTTCATGACACATCTCTTGTTAATGTTAACAAGAATCATTGAATTAGATGCCTACAACAGTGAAGTGGAGGATGATTTAAATGGAGCTGACCATGGAAGGGCAATAAAGATTTCCCAAGGAATGACCAGTGAACACTTATCCAAATTTGTGGGATTTTTCAAAAAATATATTAATTTCAATCGCGAAAATAAATATTTTAACATCTGTAGGAACTTACATTAAACAGTTTGTCATCTGAAGACTAAAAAAGAGACAAGCTCGTTTTTGTTTTTCGATAGACGTACTGAAACCTAGTTTATCTACCATAATCTTCACATTTCGGGGCACAGAGTTCCCTGTTTTTAGCACCTGTACAGAGTCATGCCTCATCGACATTACCTACTTTCCAAACACATTTCAGGACCAGGTTATTTTTCCCTCTCCCTTTTTCACGAATTACATAGTTGGTTATCCCATCTCTCTCCGAAGCAGCCTACCTCTCTGTCTTTGACACAGCCCCTACAGCTTACGCAGGCCCGCCAGGCATTTCATGACTGAACACCAGTCTGCGACATCGCCACTTTCCAGGAAAAGTTAGATCTTCGGAACAGTTAGCTCTGGCTACCTCGCCTCCCATTATTTGTATTGTTATTTTCCAGCATTCTGAGGGCACGCGTATTTGAAAGGCCATAAAACATTCAGGGCTGCTTTGTTGAGTCAGCGTCAACTTACACTGGCGATATACCTCCCCTTCATCTCTTCCTTCTGCGTTTACTTTATCCCCTGAGAGCGCATGTACCCGCGGCCAGAGGAACTCCACCTCCTAGCTCCAGATTTTTGTTTGTTTGCTTTTGTTTGTCAGGGAGTTATTTATTTGACCATCTTTTTGGATGAGTATTTTAGCTGGCAGAGAATTCTGATTCAGAGATTGTTTTCTCCTCATGGAAGCTAAATGCCTGTGTCTTCCGGTTTACAGTTTTCTATGGTATAATCAGGTTTTGTGTTTTCCCCTCAATGAGTAGCTTTAATTGTTTTTCTTTTTCTGGTAGTCAGCGGTTTTCCTATGCTACAAGAATTTGGCAAGCTTTCTGAATATGTGAGTTAATATATTTCATTAATTTTGAAAACTAGGTACCTTGAAGACTTCAAATATTGCCGCTGTCCTGGTCTGGAAATCAATCACTTATATGTCATCCTTGATTACTACAACCAATATGTTTCTCAGCATTTCCTTCTTCATTGTCCATGTTCTCTTCTCTCAAGTATCAGTCTATAAGTATTTAATCAACCAGTCTTTATAATTCACTAATCCATTCTTCAACAGTCTCTCATCTGCTATTAAACTCATATTTTACTTATCATAAATGCTGATATCCAAAGTTTCATTGATTTTTTACTGTACATCACATGCTTATTTTAAGGTTTACATTAGATAACACCAATCTGCATCACCTCTGGGTCCTTAGTCATGCTAGGTTTTCTCTTTAGTCCCGATTCTTTTTCTTGTATGCCTACTGACATTTTTTATTGCCTGTCAGACCTGCATACTAGATGTTCGAATAATGTTTCTTTGACAGCGGGTCACTTAAGGCTAGCTGCTAGACGTTGAACAGATCACTGCAACCCAGTTTGGAGATGAGCAGACTGAGGCCTGCCTTAGACTTGTAGCCTCATGCTTTCCTCTTCTCACAGTGCATGAAGCATGCAGGGTCTCGCCTGAGCACCTGGAATGGTTACCAGGTCCTCTACCCTTCCATCCCAATGACCTCTCGAGGGTATCATTAGTGCTGAACTGTACAACGGTATTTAGTTGCGTTTGTGCAGTATTGAACTTCCTACTAGGCTTGTTTCCAATACAGTGAAGAAAAAGAGAATGTTCTGAGGGGAAAACCTCTGCAGAATGTATCTTACTACAGCACCTTTCCTTCAAGAACTTGTATCTTTAAGCTCTGACATTTCTGGCCATAACCTTTGTCTCTGCACACCCCTGAGATGTGCAGACTCTCTATCTGCTCACTCTCTGCTCAGAATGCCACTCCACAGATGCCTGATGGGATACTGTAGACAGAGTGCTAGGCCGTCTCTGTATGCAGGTCTTGTCTATGTAGACCCATCCAGTGCCTCCAGACAAAGTCATGTTGCTAATTCTTTAAATTCGGTTCCTTTTAACTTAAACCTTGAAAACAGCCAGCCTGCTGTCCTTGTCTTTCCTCAGCTAGAGCACTCAGCTTCTGAATTCAGAAGTGGGACACCTGAAACTGTTCTCTGATTTCTCAAACCCTAAATGATTCAAAGTAAAACTACTTTGCCTTTAATCTAACCAGTTTTCTTCCTCCCTCTCGCCCCCAAATTCCTAGGCCAGAGGCCTTTTCACCTATTTGCTTTAAAAAATAGCCAGATTACCATTTACAAGGAACATTTTTAGACTAGTGCATTAATGGACTTATTTAATAACGGATTTTTTTTTATGTGTAAGAAAATATATCGGCTTCAGAGTTGTCTGTTTTTCTCTTGTTGCACTTACAAAAGAAAGTGTAAAATGAATGCTATTTGAATAAGCCTTTTATGCAGTGTCAAATGTTAGACACAATTCATTGTTTCACCCACACTTATGTCCTACAGCGTTAACACTGCTGTTACATGAGATGGTCCACACTGTAGGCACAAAAATGAGTCTCAAATAGAAACTAGCTTTTTCCTTTACAGACATCCTGTAATTAGCTCAAGTTTTCCTTCTTTTCACAGCAAGATCTTGCTGCACAAAACAAAACGTTTTCCTTTCTCAAAGAGTTTTTATAAGTCCACATTATAGGCTTTTACAAAACACTGGCATTCAGATGGGTCAATTACAGTTCAAAAGGCAACGAGCGTGGAATGGGAAACACTAATATTTACTGGACTTCCGCCATCACAGGTGCTCTGCTTAGGATGTCTAATCTTTCTTCCTTCCCCGAACTCTAATCACCCAGTTGGCAAGGGCTGTCTTCCTACTTCTATATTCCTTTTCCTATCTACATCCGAATTAAGGATTCTCTAGACTCACAAACTGAGGCCTTTCCCTCATCAGCACTTCCCAGCATGCTTCCAGGAACAAGCCAAGTACGTTTAATGAAAATACAAAGTGTAAAACTAGGGCAAACAGGTGTGCAGGTAATGCTGGAGAAATTGTAAATAAGAAAGCAAGCATCTCTCCATCCTGAGGCATGTGCTATGACTTGTATTTTAAACTGATGAGACCACAAAATCCATTCTGCCATCAGCTGGGGGTGGGGGTGGGACTCCCCAGAACTTTAATAGGCAAATGAAAT